TGAGCTGTCTGAGGGCGGGGTTCTTCTCCACTTTGGTAGGGTCAATGACGACCCCGTCAGATTTTAGAACATCCTCCATGTACTTTTGTTTCATCGGTAGTGCAGTCTGCAGGCTAGCCACTAGCTTGTGCCTTGAGGGCCATGAAGCAGCGCACATAGGCCGAGAGGAGCCCCTCCTCGCCCGTCTCTCCATCCCATTGCATGGTGGTGGGGTATTGGTGGACCTCGTGCACCGCAATAATCTCATACCCCTTCACCATCACTGCCAGGAGCAGGGGGGGGGGGGGTCAGGACCCCATGAGCTGCCGCTGTTTGGGATCCGCATGGGTACACAGATCTTGGTTTTGCGTCTCGACACACGTCCTACAGAGAGGAAACATGAGTCGCCCATTCTCCTTGTACGGTAGTACGGGGAGGAAGAGTTCCCGGGGTAGGAGAACGGTGCGCTTGATTGCTCCATTCCATTCTTCCATGGGTGGCATTTTGGGGTCGCCCTCCAAGAAAATTTCGGGGTGACCGACAGGGTACTTTTCCCTCAGGTTGGCGTTGGGATACTCTGAGATGACATCCGCCATCATGATCTTTTCGCCCGCGGCGAGGTCAGCCTTGTAATACCAACGCACGGCACTGGTACGGCCGCCTGCCAATGCATCCCTAAAATTTAGGGGAGGGACTCGCGTGGTGGGATGGGTTGTAAAGTACGCCACCGTAGCGGCATCTCTATGAGCTCGAGGTTAAATTTGCACTCCCACTTTTCCACGACAGCGAAGCCAGCCCTCCGGAACATGGCCGTCAGCCGCACCGTCTGTTCATGGCAGTTTTCAGTGTCTTCTTCTGTGGGCGGGAAATAGATGGCACTGATGCCAATAGCAACCGTGGAATTGGTATATGCGTCGTTCGACGGCACCGTTTGGTAGTGTGAGCTCCACATAGCCATCTACCTTCCTCCCCATCACTGAAAACTCTCTATCAGTGTGCAAAGGTTCTAATCACTTTACCCAACTTTTGCGACTCGTAGTCGAGCCACTTGAGGGCAATCTGGCTCTGCTTTCCCCTGCCGTGATAGCCACCCGGAGGGACAATCCCTATTGTGTCTGCTGGGAGGAAATTGCGCCTGTAGGCGGCCATGCATGCTGAACTCAGCGTGATGCAGTTGAACATGGGGTCGAAACCCGCCTTTTCCTCAAACAGCTCACGGAAGGCTGTGCAGGCTTGGCGCAGGATAGTGACCTCGGAGATGCAGTAGTCTATCAGTTCACGCCTGAAATTGAAGACATAGCCATTGGCTGTCTGCTCATCATGCCATTTGTGGAAGTCTGCCGCTGGTTTGGACTTCATGTCCGAGACACAGTACAGCTCCTTCTCTAGCAACGGGACCTCATATTGGTAATATTCCGGTTTGTTGGCTAGGAATGGCCAATACCCCTTTTTAAGCTCATTGAGTCCGAAAGACTTTGGCATGGCGCTCAACGGCATGGGCAGGAACATGAGGCTGTCTATAAACTCCCAAGTCCCCACTTTCATACACAAGATTTTTGCGCCCTGGAGAATAAGCTCATTTTTCAACCTGCGCTTAATCACCTCCTGCAACGCAAACATGGCGTCAAACGCCTTGGCGTTATGGGCCACGAGCAGAATTTTCGTTTTGGGGCCAAAAGACTGCAAATAGTCAAAGAACTGCTCCATCACTCCCATATTGGGGTCGTCCAGATTGTGGAAGATGTGTTGACGCGATTTACACGCCACACAAAAGTGATCGTTCTGGGTTGTTCTGGGTTGGGCGACACACTACTTGTCGCACACGGCCTGACTGACGACGAGGTTGGGTATACCCTAGAGGAAAAAAGCAACTGGGAATTGCTGACGTTTTGCTGAAAGTTAGCTAAAATATCAGCTGACATTTGGCGGATTTTAACTAAGATTGACTGCGTTTAGCGGCGTTTTACAGCGTTTTCACTAAAAAATTGCAGACTTTTGACTTGCGTTCTACTGAGGGCTCTCCCTGTAACAGGAGTGAACTGATATTAGCTGAGTAGCTCGGCTGTGTTTTAGCTGCGTTTTACCTGGCGGCTGACTAACTGTAACTGATATCGCCTAAGAGGAACTGAAGGCGCGACTGATGTTATCTGTCACTGACCCTGGAGTCTACTGAAACGCTTTGCTGTACTTGACTGACTTTTGCTACATTTTAACTATACTTCGAAAAAAAGGGAAAAAAATGCGTATTTGAACCTTGAAATATCAGGACGGAAGTCGACACTCTAGACCACTACGCTATACGCATCTGTCTGGGTACGACCGGTCGGGGTAGAGTGTGTCTCTGACTAAATGACGGGTGAACTGACTTTCGACTGCTATTGACTGATGTTTAACTAAATGTCACTGCGTTGCGAGCAGTCAGAACCCGCTACGGAGTAAAGGTCTTCGAAGAGAAATTTTCTAAGTCCAGCCTTCTAGTCACAAAGGAGCAAACCCTCAGCTCAACGCATTCACAAAGTTTAACTGCACGTAGCTATAACATGACTAATCTTGCTGGAGCGAGTACTCTCGCAAATGTTAGTTACGACATAGTCAAATTTTAGTTAAGGAGGACGACTGAGAGTTGATAAATTTTGAATATATTTTACTGACATGGCGTTTATGCAAAAGCCGTCTAAAACAGAGGCAAAATATAGGGCCTTTGGCTGACTGATAGTATTTGTACTTTGACTAAAGTTACTGAAAGCGGTCCTCAAGTAACTAAAAGAAGAATCGGTCGGTATCAGCTCGAGCGAATGTATTCTCAGTCACTCTAAGTCGCGTCCGCAGTCGAAAAGCAGCTGTGATTAGTTGAACTTCAGTATGAAAATGTGACTGCTTTTTGCTGTAAAGTAACTGATGCGTAGACTGCATTTTGGCTGATTTCACGGTAGCTAAACTCGGATTAAAATGCCGGAATAATCCGGGAAAATCCTCTTATCCCAGTCGCAGTTAGTAATTCGCGGCCAAAAGCAGTTGGCTCAGTTCATCTGCAGTTAGAGAACAGCAATCTTCAGTTAACTTTTCCTCTAGGGTATGCTCAAATGTGTTGAGCTTTCCCTCTACAGGTTGGCTTTGACAAGTTTCAACGTCATAGTAGACAGAAACATAGGTGGTCTTCTTCTTTTTGTCTTTTTCCGTCCATCTTTGCATGTAACAGAGGTGGTTCTCATCTTCCTGCTTCTTGCAGTATGTACAGTAAACACAATGGCATTTTTGTTTCCCACCCCTCATGAGATAGTAACTCTTCTCACATCTGCCGCAGAATTTGAATTTCTGGCACTTTGTATCGTCGGAGCGAGGAAGTTTGAGTGTTTTGTGGTTTTGGAAACACTCGTCTCCTGCAAATTGGTGGCCGCACTCCATGCAACGCTTCAGGGGCTCTTCATGTCGGCCGGGGCCGAAGCACCGCCAACAGCTGTCCTCACACCGGTGTTCCCCCTTCTTGTCGAAGAAAACCAGACATTTGTCACACATGAAGTTATGATCAAAAGCTGAGCAGGGGTAGAAGATGCCGTAAAAGTGACCCTCGTAACGCAGGAGGCATATATTTGGACGCCCTAATCCGTACGGTCCGTTGAATTCACATTCGCCGTCTTTATTACTGAAGACACGCAGGCGGTAATCGGGCATGGCGGCCTGTAGCTTCTGCACCTCGTCAATGCCGCAAGGTTGTTGGGGATCGATACCCGCCAGTCTACACCATTTTTCTGCCTCCTTTTTCTGAATGTCAGAGTTTTTTTTTTTTTTTTTATCCTGCTGAAGGCCTGTCGATGCATCGTACCTCTAGCCTTGGTCACTACCACACTGCGGGTGAGACACACATGATCTTGGGTGTTTTCCGGTGAAAACATAATTTTTCCATTTGCTTTTCTCTTCATCCAAGCCTCAGGGGTCTCATTGGGCACTCTCTCCAAATTTCTTCCGGCCGCCTCGGGTGTAGGGATGTGAAAATAACTCAGCTTGAGTTTCCCGTCAGCCATAAAGGCCTGGTTTGAGTTGAGAATACGCCCAAGCTTGTCCAAGAGGACCTGACCGTTGATCTGATCCGCCCTGCGCAGACTTAACCACAGGGGGTTGTCTACATTCTCGGCATTTTCGATTTCGAGGATGAGTCGATCATCAATCATCCTTGGCATTTTGTGCGTCACGCTGCCTCTGCAGCGCTGTGTCGAACAATCCGACCATAACCTCCTCAGATGGCAGTCCGGCCCCCAACCAACTGATTTGCATGACTTCTTCGCGGAAGACTGTATTGAAACGTTTGAGATGACGTTCACGTGTCTGCAGAACTTCCAGAGTGGGGCGCTCCTCATCCTCTTCTTCCCGCTGACGCTTAGATGTCCCGGGTTGAGGAGAAGGGGCGTGGCGGGGCGTCGTGCGACCGCAGGTGGCGTGGCGGGACGTGGTGGACCCGCCGGTGGGGTGGCGGGGGCGTGGGTGGATCCGCGGACCCTTCCCCTACCATTGCCAAAGCCATACGGTACGTGACCGCGGCCTTCGCATCGTGCTCGCGCTGATAGGCCAAGAACCCCGTCAACAAGAATGGTATCATACGAGGATCCTGTCGATCTTCATCATTAGCTTCAAATAGCGCCATCAACATGAGCGTGTACGCCTCCACGAGGTACTCGTCCTTATAGAACGCACCTCCCTCCCATTCATTCAGAATCTCCGACTTTAGCGAACTCATATTGCAACACTGGACTATGCAAATTGTTGTTTCCGTACTCCTTATCTTCTCACTGTTTTTTTCTTAAACCGGAACCTCCCGACATTTTCCTTGAGGATCATTAGGCCTTTTGGGGTGTTAAGTTGTTATTTTTTGTATTTAATAGTTTTCAGTGTTGTTTGTTTCGGTTTAGGAAGGAGCAAAACCTTTACCGACATGTTACCATGGGAGGTTTACCCGCCGATGTCTGGCGGGCCCCTCCACCCATAAGGGCTCGGGTAGGCACCCCTGCGACGTGTAGCCCCCGGTTTAGAACCGGAGGATCACGAGGGTAGTGTAGGATTTGCACCCACTAAACGTCTCCTCCCTGCGCGCCTGAGCGCTCGCTCCCTCGCCTTCCTCCGAGCGATGTATGCTGCTGTTATTGTAGTAAGCCTCCACAGCGGGTCTCGGACATCGCCGCGCTCGCATTGGATGCAGTCTGCTAGTAAGGGGTTGGGGTGTTCCGCGATCCTCTCAAATTGGTGGCATACCAGCAGGGTTCGGAAAGTTACTTGAAAAAAAGTAATCGTTACCGTTACTGTTACCGTCCCCAAAAAAGTAACTAGTTACGTTACCGTTACCCCAAAATTTGTAACTCGTTACTTTACTATTACTACACCGTAAAAAAAAGAGATTGTTTTTTGTTATTTTTTAATTCGAATAGTTCTAAAAAATTTACATTTTATTTCACATTATTATCTTGCAGTAATGCAATCCTATTGCCAAAACAGACACATGTTCATAGGCCCCCCTACCCATCCTGGGCTTCTCTGCCACCACGCCGCGCATTGCGCTGGCTCGCGGGGTGGCGACGACCTGCCGGACCGGGGGAGGGGGGGTGGGGCGGCACAAAATTACCACATGGCCTTTTTCTTCCAAAACACCCCCGTATCAAGGGGGCCCAGGATACAGAAATGCTGTCGGCCTCTTCTCATTTACGCTTTTAGGGATCATCGGAAGGTCAAATAGCTGCTGATGCCGGCCGGCTGGGGTCCACCAGGCCTCGCCCGTACTTTCACGCCTTTTGTTCCTAGCACGGCCGGACCGGGCCCCGACCCGTCTCCCTCCCCGCCCGGTCGACAGTCCGCATCCGAGTGTCCCACCCGCACTACCTGCCTCCGTCTCGGTCTGCCTCCACTTGCAGCCTATGCATGAGAGAGACAAGTACATCGATGCTCCCGCACTTTGAAAAGTAACGGTAACGACGATTTACTGATATCGTTACCGGAAAATAGGTAACCAGTTACCGTTACAGTTACCGAAACTGAGAAAAGTAAGAGTTACTGTTACCGTTACCCAAAAAAGGAACTCTTTACCGGTAACTTACTGTTACTGTTACAAGTTACTCCGAACCCTGCATACCAGGTCGTCCCTCTCCTGTTTCAGGGTTTTGATGTGTGATGTTAGATCGGACAGGGTTGTTTTGGGTGTGTTTCGGGGAAGACCTGTGATGTTGCGGAGCCACTTTCTCTCCTGTTTCTCTAGGCGCCCGAACTGGTAATCGCTCACATTGTCCCACGCGGGAAGCCCGTACATGATGACGGGTCGGATCAAGGTGTTATACAAGATTTCCCGCGATTTAGGCGAGACAATGTGGCGCCAGTGGAAGTACCTCATGAGCCTCGCCGTCTTCTGTTTGGTAGAGGAGACGAGGCGGGTTACATGGGTCTTGAACCGTAGATTTTTGTCGATTTGGACGCCTAGGTACTTGAGCGAGGGTGCCAGTGGTATTTGCTCACCGCCGTACCGGATGTTGATAGTAGCCAAGTTTGTGGTTCTTTTGAGAGCAATCGCGGTACTTTTTCCAGGATATATTTTGGTCTTCCAGTCTCTGCACCAGGTCTGTAGCGCCGAGAGTTGGGCATTGAGCCACTCGTTTGCTAGTTGGGTTTTGCGCGCTACGACCAGGTAGGCTGTATCGCCTGCATATTGGAAAATGTCTACTAACCGCTCATCCCAATTA